CCCCCCCCCCCCCCCCGGATCCGCCACTGAGTAAATGATATTGTTTAGACATAAAATCCATCTATGAAACTTATGAATATAATAATGTTTTGAATTATAATAATATAATTGCTCTATATGGCGAGTTATACAAAAGTTCTAAACATGTCAATATTTAATTGTTGAGAATGCAAAATAATACTAAATCTATCTATATCTGCTAATTAAATGCCTTGTGGAATAAATGGGTCTTTAGGTTAGGTTTGAATGACACTGTCAGAGAAAAGTAAAATGAAATATGACACATGTTGGGCTAAGGCAAGGTACTTTTTTTTTCAGAGGGGAGGGTCATTACTAATTTTTAAAAAAATCTTTTAAAAAGTTGAATGTGAATGTGAATTCTCACGCCTCCCCTCTAATAAAAACGTACCTTCTCTTAACTAATTTGGAAATTACAGTACAAGATATTACTGTCTGAAAACTTACTAAGTAGGATTTTACATCTTTGTTGCTGAAAAGACCCTGGATTTTATTTTGAGGATTCTTGCATAGACCATCAAAACAAGAATTTTGACTGTAACTGTAAATAATATCAATTAAGGGATAAGTTCTAAATTTTCAATAAAAAAATAAATAACTAGTAATAAGATGAACCTTGTTTAGTTACTATTAGTTACTGCTATGGCACACTTAATTTGGAGCCTTGCTCTGTTGTGTGACCCTCACCATAGCTTTCGTAATTACATTATTTTTTGTTGTTGTTGTTTAAATTTTTCACCTTTATTCTTATGTTGTATGGTGAAAGTTATTGAATATATAATAAATAAATATTAAAGCCTGCGTTTAATATTTATGTTGTTGATTGATTCGAGTGGTTTGGAAAATTTGGAATCGTATCCTGGAATGACCACTTGGAATGGGCGTCGACCCAACATGAAGCTTGGAATCTGCAATTTATGGACAAAGTTGCTTTTCCTTTTGGCTTTCCTTCGTTATTCCATTGCATTGCATTGCATCTTATTTTATTTCAACTTATTTTATTTTTACTTATTTTATTCTTATTTTATATCATTTTTACTTTACTTTACTTTATTTTTTCTTTATTTAATTTTAATCATTTCATGTCATTTCTATTTATATATTTGTTTATTTATCATTGTTATCGATTTGGTTCAGAAGTCAGCCTTTTTGAAAAAGACTCTGTGAAAACTTGCCTGGTTTTTTTTTGTTTTTGTTTTTCTTTGAGTCTGGAGCAGAGAGACGCTTGATTGGTCAAGAGGTCAAACTCAGTTTACAATATCAACCTGTAGAAAAAACAGGTTATGTTTTATTTAGGTTAACCACATAACCTGTTAAACCAGTTAGATGAATAGCACCTTGGTCCAAGTACGTCACCTGGTTAGTGATGTAATAAATAAGGTGAAAGAGAAGAATGGCGGCAAAAATGGAATTTTACCCTTTTGGATCAATTTTGGTCAAAAAATAACTGAAAATAACGTAAGTCTTATATGTAAAGAATACACGTGTTTCTTGTTTTTATACAAAGATTAGTGAATAATCTGTTGTTATTGTATTTACCAGCAGCACGAACCAACTGTTCGTTTTACGGCTGTAGACACTTTATCTGTTATTTTTAACTGTTTTCAACATCAAAGGGTTTCTAGAAGTATGTTTAGAGATACGACATTTGAAGTGGGATTTTCCGTAGTAGATATAACCGGCCCATTATGCGAGCAGATGGGTTATTTTGGTAAGAACTGCGGTGAAGGTGTCTGCTAGATTGAAACAATTGGGACACAAGCACCCCAACAAATGGATTCAAAACATCTTACGACTTTATTTTATTCGAATAGTTTTAAAAGTTGCTGGGGTTTAGAACTGTGAGCCCAATGTTGTAGATGTCCGTTAGAATTTGGATTTTTGTTGCTGTAAATCAAAAATTCAATCGTACAAATACAAAAGCAAAAGCAAAATTACGATTAATACAAATTAAAATACAAATTGAAATTGATTCAACGCCAAATAGCAGGTTTCATGTAAAACGTCCGAGAAGATATGATATGTCTGTATGTAGTTGTTTAAAACGCTTTTACAAATCGTCCTTTATTGATAAATTATTAGAGCTTTGAATATGTCTCATCACTGACGTTGAAGTTACGATTCAGTGGAGCGGTGTTTGTCCTTGAATTAATCACATTTCCCAACAGCCTACCGTTATTGCTGTTTAATGTTATCACTTTTTCATCAAATCTTTTATTGCTTCATTAGAATAGTGAGATGATGTTAATGCGCTGATAAAAGATACGGTACAAAGGATTCTGGTAGTTGTTTATAACCTTCAAGTCACTAAAGAATTGATCTTGTTCTACAATATGTGCTATATTTTAAATGACCTTTAACTTTATTGTCGTAGACACACTTTTACCGGGACCACTGCGACAAAGTTAGAAAAAAACTTAGCCAATCATGAGATAGCAAAATAGAGTATCCGATATTGACCTCAGCCAATCACAATCGTTTATTCACCTTCATTCCGAAAGTTCTTGTTGACATTCAAGATTTCAATCCTTGGTTGCTTGCTCGTGGTTGGTTAAAGCTTGACTAAAGTTTGATTCCTTTGTTTTCACTCTATGTGGTGATTGGCTAAATTTCTTCAAGTGGTCTCGGTTAGTGTGTGCACAAGTAACTATAAATCTACAGGTTCAACAGTATGATGACATTGCATTATAGCTAGATTGATGTTTTTAGACCCTCCAAAATAGTCGCATTTGCGCGAAACAATAAAAATTACAAATTTTTTTAAACAGTACCGCGTAGTTTTGCAAGGTCAAAATCATAAAGTACTTCTGTGAACATCGCTCCATTAATCTAACTAATGATTCTTCTCCTTTGCCTACAAGGATTACAGTGCTAACAAAAGAACGGTACTTAGTACAGTAAAGTATACTAATATATAAATGTACCTCTTTTTTTCATCCCTGTTATTACAGACAATGAGTACCATACACTACAAAAAATACTTCTATGAGCATCCCTCCATTAGTCTCGTTGTTTCTTCTCTTGCAAGGTTTACATGGATGCTCAGAGAAAAGTTCACACTAAAAAATTTTATTCGGTACACAGTAGATAATAAGGTTCAGAGCTGCATAGGACAAGCCAGAAAACTAAATTAAACGCTTTGCATACTGATAAATGGAATTTTGTATCCTTTGAAAGTGAAAGAATCAAGGTTTATCAACGTGGCTCTTTAGCTAGTTAATCAGTTTATCGAAGTGATTCTCTTATAGAAGAAGGTGCTGGCTCCAGGTCTTCATTTCTTTTCCACTGTGTAAAGGTCTTGTCCTTTAAAGTTTCATCAAAATATCTGTCTCGTTTGGCAAGTACCATCTTCTGATTTTCGTCTTTTAATCCGCGAAACTCCTCAGAACGTTCTAAAACCCAGCACGCTTTGAGAGATGCCACTTCTCCGCACTTTTCCATGACATCTTCAAGGTTGTATAATTCCGCTACTTAATAAATCCCACTGAAGAAAATTGGGTTCTTTAACGCTTGAGATTAGAAACTTGCAGTGCATGGCACTATAAAAAGTAATTTATTTATGCATATGCATTTTGTTCTAAATATTTGACTCTTTTGGCATAAACTCTCATCTTACTTTCTGGCAGTAATCCACAAAATTCTTCAGAACTTTCTAAAATACGGCTCGGTTTGAGAGATGTCACTTCTGCACACTTTTCCATGACATCTTCAAGGTTGTGTAATTCCGCTACTTTATAAATCCCGAGACAATTGGATTCTTCAACGCTTGAGATTAGAAACTTGCAGCACAGATATTTGACTTTGCTGACTTGGTATTCTTCAGCAAGTCGAAGGAGAAACTCATAGTTTTCCTCTGCAAATGTATTAAATATTAATTAGAAAGAAAATTTCAGAAAGAAAGATTTTCAGTTGGCGAATTCCTTTTCTCGAAAAGTACCAAATACTCTTTTAAATAAGTTTCTGTTTCCCAAATTGACAGTCAGTCATTGCGAAATTACAAAATTTATCAAAAGTATTAAAAATTTCGAATGACGCAGCTTTTTTTTCGGAGAACATTCATCTTTCTTTATTTTAACTTTTCTCATTATTTTTTAAATTCTTTTTCTTTATTAGCTTTACAACTAGTACTTTCTTGAAAATAAATTTAGAACAAACACTAGTCGAGGGAAAGGAAAACAGCACAAGAATAAGAGACATTAAAACCCAAAAAATACTGCATATATATCTATCAAGAACTACAAGCAGCAGGTGATATTGTATGAAAGGGTATTTAGAACAGTATATCTTCGAGGTTCTAGTTCTATCTGTCAACGTAGTAGTTACCCAACACTTACTGTTGATTTGCTTTCCTTGGGAAATTACGTCTGCGTAAATCACTCTTAGAAAAGCACCAAATTCATCGCTTTGCTTCCCTGGTAAATGTATTTGCTTGGCGTCCTTTTCAAGGAAATCTAACGTAAGCATTTTCTCAAACACGGGAGAAGACATCGAAAGAATGCATTTATGGACGTGAAACTTGGTGTTTTCGACGACGAGCACCAAATCACTGAAGTGTCGAGGAGTTGAAAAGTCATAAACTTCATCATTATTGCTTTTCGCCTGTGCCATCTTTTTCGCTCTTGTTGAGTAGGAACAAGAATCACGAAATTGAAAACTTTTGGTAACTTCAACCACTTATAATTACAGAGGGGGAAAATCAACAAAACAGGCTATTGGCATATTTACACAATAGTTAACAGCATGAAATAAGAACTGAACTGCAGACACATATTACGTCAAGTGTTTGTAAGAAATAGAATCACTCAGTATTCGCTGTAAACTAATGAATTCGAGCTCCAATTTAACCAGGTTGAAAGTTTGTAAAAGCAATTGAATTAAATTCAAAGATAGCCAGATATGTAGATATAAGTTTAAACTGATTCCTTCGAGTTCAATCTCTTCAGTATTGAATAAAAATCATTACCAGGAACTGATTATAACCCGAACCCTCAAGCAATTTAATTGTGAACAAAGCAAGCGTCGAAAATATCTGAAACGAGAAAAAACGTTGATGTACGTATCATGGCAACAAAGTCATCATCCAGACAAATAAAGTCGTTCATAACTGAGACATGCAACACTCGAATGAAAAATATAATTTACTAGATATTCGATTATTTGTTTGAGGTAAAACTATAAACCTACTCACATTATTTCAGTACTTAAATTATTAAACATGTGATGAAAATTGCACCCCATAGATAGATTCATGCAAGTCTTCCTTAAGTTGGAATAATTTATGACACACAAAGAAATAGAAGATTCATTGCAGCATATTTGAGCAAACAAGACTACAAAATTGTCGCTTTCGCGCGTGAAATATATAAATATCAAGTTTGTTTAAACATTAAATTTTACACCTTCCAAATCATAAAGTACTTCTTTTAACATCGCTCCATTAATCTCGTTGTTCCTTCTCTTGCAAGGTTTACATGGATGC